AGCTCCAAGAGCACCTCTTGCTGGCTGGTTGAGTTTTGGTAAGCCTTGTCACCTTTGGTCTTGAGTTTTTGAACTTAAAAATGAAAGCTTGATGCATGTTAAGGCTTAAAGATGGTAACTTGTTGTGGGGTAATGTTGAACACACCTAGAAATGCATGTTTAGGTGCTTTAAATCGTTAAAAACCCATCCTTGGAAGGATATCTTCACGAAATGCATTTCCTGCATTCTGTCGTGAAATATCCAGATATGTGCCCGATGAATATCCGGATATGTGATATCCGGATATGGGTTTTGAGTATCCGGATACTAGATATCCGGATATGGGATTCTGGATATCCGGATATTGCATATCCGGATACGTCCAGTGAGATATCCGGATATTGCATATCTGAATATGGTCCCGAGGAATATCTGGATATTCTGGAATTTCGTAGAACAGTAGCTGTGCTGTGTGTACAGTAGGCTATTGGGGGTTTGCGGACCCTAGATTGATGAAGTTGAACTTCTGTAGTTAATGAACTAAGTCAGAATTAACTGATTAAGGACTTATGACTTGGTATGGAGCCTTAAGACGTAAAACGTAAGGAGAGGCGTTGTCTTTAAGTTATATGCTTGTGTTGCATTATTATTGATATAGTATTGGTCCATAACAGATTGTGAATCTGCTGTGTTTGGACTTTGAGCTGTGGACTCTTGGCTTTTGGAGTTAGCTTGCAAGGTAAGCTTTCGTGTCCTCGGTTTAGCCATGTTGTGGTTCCACCATGTCCCATGGGGGTATGGTTTATGCATGCTGTGTACATGCTTTTGGATATTTGATATGTTGATTGAACTTTACATGTAATGGCTTTTAATATGCATGTGTTGTTTCATCTTGACGGGAAGCCTGAGTATGTAGCGCCATACAAGACGGTGTACCGGGGTGAATGCAAGTGGTACTTGCACGATGTGTAGGTGATAGACGTATACCTGCACTGTCTCTGGCCAGTAGATTAGTATTGACACACATGGCATGATATCTGCTGCATTGCATTGTTTTAGAAATGATAAATGATAAACTGTTTTTGAACTTATATTGCACATGTAAGTGAGCTTGGGGTGGAAGATCCTTGAGGACTCCCTGACTTACTGAGATTTCTAGATTAGAGATCTTACCCCACGTTTGGGGAATGCTTATTTCAGGATCAGGTAGTATGGGTACTGATGCCTCAGGCGGCAGGAGGCCGGAGCTTAGCTGATTAAGTTTTACTGCTTATGTTAGCATGACTGGATTTGGATGGTGTTTATGTTTTCCGCAATTTATGATATGTTGTTGTTGAGACTGATGTTGGGCATGTTGCCTTATTTGAGTGAGCATGGGGATTGTCCATGACACTTTCTGTTAGTACTTGTAGTTTGGAGTTGTATAAACTGTTAGATGGTCCGGTCTACGTTGTTGTAGTTCCGTGACTAGAGCCACAGTTATATTATCTATGTTATGAGGTATTTCAGTTAGCTATTTTATTGCAATTAGATACAGGCGATGTTTTATTAATTGATTATTAAGCAAGTTGGTAATGTTAATGACATCATAATTGAAAAGAAAAAGTAATTTCGCATTTTAATTAAGCGCAGCTTAATACGATATTATGATAACATTACCGGATATATACGGGGTGTTACAGAGACCTTCTACTAACATTTTACTATTTAGGGTTACGTGTTTGTCAAATTACCGTTTTATCCTTTTTACGTATTTTGACCCAGAACTCAGGATTTTCACTAATCATTCTCTTTAATCCTCAATTTAACTATAATTAATTGTTTTGAAACTACAAGGTGTTATAAGACTCACAATCTAGAAGGCCTTAGAAGGGCAACAGTTCTAAAAGGGCGACAGTAAAGAAGAAACTAAGGGAAATTAAAGAAAGAATCCTTTATAGATACTAATCGTAGTACGACAATAATAGTTTGAGTATTGGACCCCCAAAAAGCCACTAAAGGTCAGAAATTTCACTACCCACAAATAAACTCTATAATTAACAAGTAAAGCCTACAAGTATGACACTTACTCTCTCTACTTGTTGTCCTTGAGCACATACAACACCCCTTTGCCTACATTATTATTCTCTCATGCACAATGATCTATTACCTCAAAGGTATCTTCTCGATAGATATCTGAGATAGTCCTCAGATCCAAAATCAACATGTCAGTCTATAACTAGATATCTCTATCCCTAGGATAGAACAACACATATAAAAGTGTGTGAGTTCTATGTTTTCTTTTTCTCTCTCTTTTTCTCACATGAACCCCAACAAACTTTTATGTGTGTAATAGATAATTTTATCTCTTACGATATAAAAAAACTCTAAACCCTATTATTCAATAGGAAACTAATAAAAGGCGACTAGTTGTCGTTCAGGTCCATTTCTACTTTTTCTATTATCGTGACATAATGCGTGAGTATTAAAAAATAGTGGCACAATCAACCAGCATCATGATACGTATGGTTTTTTCAAATCGGGAAGTCATTTTGTTATAAATAATGTTAAATACTTTTGAAGACGGCCACAGTGGGGTCATAAAACCTATTAAAAAAATTCTTACATACTATGTTTTAATATTTTTATCAAGGAAAATAAATAAAAATTAATGATGTAATTATATTTTGAAAATTTAACATATGATACTTTAATAAAATATTACTCTTTTATTTTCTCATTGAAGAATGCTCCTCAAGCCGATTATGCCATTTCAAAATATTTGTTAACATGGATTGTTTCCAAGTAACCTCTACACTGATTTCTTCTGTGGATGTTAATGTGGGTTCTAACTAAAAGCATCCATTTACCTGGCTCTCATGTTCGTTGTCATTTTAGAAGTGCATATAAAATTATATCTTCAAATTAACATATCATTTAAAGAATACATACAATTCTCTATTTTCGAGAGAACTGAAAAGTATTCCTGGATATTTTTGAGTAATTAAAAAAATGCTGTGATAGTCATAAACAAAGGAAAATTATCCTTAACCTCCCATAAAGATATTCAGAGGAGTGTATACAAAATTTTGATTATAATTTTAATAAAATCTTCAGTTTCAATTGAAGGTGAACATGGATCTGTTTCGTTCGAATGCACACGTGTATATATATATATATATATATATATATATATATATATATATATATATATATATATATATATATATATATATATGGTAATATTATTTCTGCGGTCGTTTTACGTACAACAACTACAGGTGTATGGTTATGATTTTCCACATTTAATGCTTTCATCATTTGTATGGTTATGATTCCCCGCATTTAATACTTTCAAGTATATAAATGGCAAGTATTTGATTGCTGCACGTACAACAGCTGCAGAAATGTAAATTCCTATATATATATACATAGGGGAAAACATTTCAGCAGCCACTTTAGATAAGGTTGTCTATAGCTACCCTTTTTTCACCAAGTACGACCGGTCATACATTGAAATTGCATTTTCTCTCTCTGCCACATCAGCCGACAATGTCTGAGGAAAGAGAAAAAAAGAACAGCTTTATTGTTACAACTAAGTACGACCGGTCGTACTTAGTGAAAAAAGGGTAGCTGTAGACAACCTTATCTGAAGTGGTTGTAGAAATACTTTTCTCATATATATATATATATATATATATATATATATATATATATATATATATGGAATAGGTTATTCTCTCTACCTTTGCATATCCCTTTTAACATCGTAAAATTATAATCTCATCCTACGATGGAGAATTGAGGGATAAAATAAACTTTTTTACCCCTTTCTTTCTTCCATTGCCTCCCACACTTTCTCCCTATCGTATTTCAAATTTCCAATCACGACGCAGAAAACAACCATCCCAACAATAATTGTGAAATCATGTTGATTGTACAGAGGTAACAAAAAAGGTATAGGACCCTATTCAATATAATCCAAGCATTTTCACAATCAATTTTAACTAGAGGAAACACCACATTTGCCCTGCAACTATGGCAATCTCTTTCGCACTTCAACAAGATGAAAATTGCAACCTTCTTCGAAATTTGGTTATTGAAAACAAATTATTCCATGCTCATGTGATGCGTTAACGACAGCGAGAAAAATTACAAGAAGAAATTTTTGCAAGTCAAAACAAAATGACGACTTCGCAAGGGAAGAGAGAGAAAGAATGAGAGGCAATTAGGAGAAAGGAAGGGGTAAAATAATTTATTTATCCCGTAAATCTCCATTGTTGGATGAAATTATAATCTAACGATGTTGAGAGAGGTAGACAAAATTAAGCAGAATAACCTATATATATATATATATATATATATATATATATATATTAATCAAATTAAAATAATTGGTTTAATTTAGCTCAGTCTTGTAACTTTTTCGCTAAATCTAAATTACACAAAATCAAACAAAAACGGGTTGGTTCAATTTGGTTTAACTGGTGGAACTCAAATCATATATGCATTCATTGCATTGTTATTATGACTTAAATTTATAATTCGTCAACTTAAAATATTATATTTTCAGTATTTTATTTAGAGTATAGTTATATTTACAAATTTTTTGTTTACAAATTACACTATATACTACTGGTAGTACATACTACTTGAGCATATACTACCTGTAGTACATATATAGTGTAGTTTGTAAAAGTTTATTAACAAAAAATCTGTAAATATTAACTACCCGTTTCGTTTATTGAAGTTATTAAATCGCAGATGAGGTGAAATCATATGGCAGGTAGTGTAATTCGGTGCATGCTAGTTTTTTTAACCAAATCCATCAATATCTACAGATCTGAACGCTTGACATTAATTGCAAATTGCTGTATAATAATATTAATATACATCCTACCCATTAGGGCATTAAAATGGCATCTCAGAACCTTATGCTCTTTAACCCCAATTCCAACTTATGGCATCTTCTCTTGGCTCTTTAATCTCTCACTTAGTATCCGCAGGATTTTGGTATCTCATACTCATGCTAATTGGCTTTATGCCGTTCATCAAATTCATAAAACATCATAGTACCGAGAAATCCAAAAACACTAGGCTCCCTCCTGGTCCTACGCCATGGCCTATAGTTGGAAATCTTCCTGAAATGCTTGCAAACAAGCCTACATTCAGATGGATACAAAAGCTGATGAATGATCTAGACACTGAAATAGCTTGCATCCGTCTAGGTAATGTTCATGTAATCCCTGTCACAAGCCCTGAAATTGCACGTGAGTTCTTGATCAAACATGATGCTGTTTTTGCTTCGAGACCCTTGAACTGGTCCAGTGAGCATGTCTCAAGTGGATATTTGACAACAGCTCTTGTACCCTTTGGAGAACAATGGAAGAAAATGAAGAAAGTGCTTCGCAATGATTTGCTTTCACCTCTCAGGCATCAATGGCTTCATGACAAAAGGATGGAAGAAGCTGATAACCTTGTTCGTTATATCTACAACCAATGCAAAAATGGTGGCCTTGTGAATGTGAGGGTCGCTGCACAGAGTTATTCTGGGAACGTGATTAGGAGGTTGGTTTTCAATAAAAGGTACTTTGGAAAAGGTAAGGAAGATGGAGGACCAGGCTTTGAGGAAATGGAGCATGTTCAAGCACTTTTTATTGTGTTAAAGTACATCTTCGCTTTTTCTGTTTCTGATTACCTGCCATGTTTGAGAGGACTTGACTTGGATGGTCATGAGAAAATCATGAAAAATGCTGTTATGATCCTAAAGAAATATCATGATTCTATCATCGAGGAAAGAATTCAGCAATGGAAGAAAGGGGAAAAGAAAGATGAAGACGACTTGCTTGATGTTCTCATCTCACTAAAAGATGCAGATAACAATGCACTGTTGACTGAGGAGGAAATTAAATCTCAAATTATGGTACACTCTTATTCCTCTAATTTTACTTCCAAATTTTGACACTTAAACATGGTGGCACACTACTCATCATGAATGGGGACAGTGAAAATTGGTGGAGCGGTCACGTCATTTTGCAAATCAATGCATGTGATTTTATCTGCATATTTTCCATTTTTTTTAGATGCGTTTCCTTGAGTGTGTACTAAGCTGCCCCAGCCTCTCTAGGTTTAGTGTGATATTGAAAATTGCTTTAATTTTATTGAGTGATTTTTTTTTTAAGTATGTTTATCTCTAAAGTAACAAGGTGATAGTCTATTTATCCTTAATATAGTAATTTTAATTTACTAAAATTGAACAGTAATTAATTAAATATACTATTATTTATTGACTTTAAAAGCAATCTTTTCTTATTTTGTTAACATCCAACACAGAAGATTTATATTTTGCATATACGACAAAGTTTATTAATTGAGATGCTTTATCTAATAAGGACATGTAATTATAATTTTTATTTTTATTTTTTGGTAAACATATATTTTTCTTATTAAGTTAATTTTAATGTTGCAATAATTCTTTTTTTTTTTTTTTACAATATTGATGCCATGATGTTTCAACTTATAATCTCATGTAAAATATTCAAGTCCCTTGTCACTAATGCACACGTAGTAGCTTAATAATAATAATCCATTAATTTCTTTATTATTTTGAATTTATTTTATTAAATCTTTTTATAAAAAATATCGTTTATATTTTAAGAAAATACTTCTGGAAACTTTATATATATATATATATATATATATATATATATATATATATATATAGTACTTGATTGTCTAAACTAATAAAAATTTGATATTATTTTGTTGTCCAAAACAACATTCCGTAGAAAAAATTTTATGCCATTAAGTTAAAGATTAGTGAATTTATTTTAAATCTATGAACTCTCTCAGGTATCTATGAAGGAGATACTTTCGAAGGTAAGTAGATCACATTGCACAATAAAATAGTAGCATATCAAGGCGTAATGTGTGTGCATAATGATAGCAAATAGAGAAAAGAAGTATCATACCTGTAGACTTTACTTCTAATTTATAGAGTTTAGGGATCCAATGTCTGATCTATTGCTGTTGCATTAGGATTAATATAATTAAAAAATCTTTCCTTAACTGTATGAATGCTCTTGAAACTTCTAAAATATGTGTCTTTATATCAAGTCCATAACAATTGCCCGCAGCCTAATAGTCTGAATGTCCATACTGGCGGGCTGTGATTATTGCCATGTACGTGATGCTGACGTTGTGGTCCATAACACTAATTAATGGGAAAATTCAAAGAACTTATAAAATGAGTAAAGTAAAGTAGTTAAGAAAGTATCCATCTTCGAATTTTAATAGTTTAAGATAGTAGTGCACTTTGTACTAAATTAAGAATAAATACACTCTTATTTGCTTGTTTTAAGGATGAGTCTTATCTCTAATTAAATCTATTATTATAATGCCCATATTTAAATTTTAAAATTTATTTTCTTTCTCACTAAACGTAAATCATTAATTGTTGCAGGAAATGATGATTGCAACCGTGGATAACCCATCAAATGCAGTTGAATGGGGACTTGCTGAAATGATAAATCAACCTGAGCTACTTCAAAAGGCTACCGAAGAATTGGACAATGTGGTTGGTAAGGGAAGGTTGGTGCAAGAATCAGATATTCCAAAGCTCAACTATGTGAAGGCTTGTGCAAAAGAAGCTTTTCGCATTCATCCCATTTTGGATTTTAACGTTCCCCATGTTTCCATGGGTGACATAGTTGTTGCTAATTACTTTATCCCAAAGGGTAGCCATGTGTTGTTAAGGAGACAAGGACTTGGTCAAAATCCAAGAATTTGGAAAGAACCCCTTAAGTTCAAACCAGAACGTCATCTTAAGAGTGATGGGTCTAATTTGGTTTTAACAGATCCAAGGTTGGAGATGTTGTCATTTAGTGCTGGAAGGCGTAGCTGTCCAGGATTCGTGCTTGGAACTGCAATGACTGTTATGCTATTTGCAAGGTTATTGCATTGCTTTACTTGGAATGTGTCACCTAATAAGTCTAGCATTGACCTCTCTGAATCTGAAGAAGATACCAAGAAAGCTAAGCCCCTTGTGGCATTTGCAAAGCCAAGGTTTCCATTAGAAGTTTATGGTACATATTAAGTGACCTTGTGAAGCCATTTGTGTCCAAAATAAAATACAATAACGGACACACATGTTTGCATTAGATTGTAATAAGAAGTGTGTTTGCTATGAAGTCGTTTATATATGTTGTTTGGAAGTTAATTTATCAAAATTAAATAAAAATTATTAAAATGATATAGTTTTTTAAAAATTATTTATCTATTTAATATAATTTGATTGTGTTTGATAAGATGGGCCTTACTAGTGACATCAACTTTACAGGTGGAAAAAATAATTCAACTGATTTATCTTACGTGCCATTAGAATCACTTGTCCCACTATTCTTTCCCTTTAACTTTGATTTTGACTTTGACTACGAGCAGGGAAGTGTCTATTCGTATATATACAGTTGCAAATTGGTTTTATGTAATCATCTAATAGAAACTGTCTTTTAAGGCAATGTAGTTATGAGAGGTTCTCTATTCGTATTCAACTCATTTCTTATGTCCTGCTATGTCAAGTGTCTGATATCTCATCAGAGATTCCAAACCAAATCCAATCTGGTTATGAACACCTCTACTTCTCCGTTGAATCACTTATATAATCCATAGTGAAAATCTCGATGGCAATAGTACTGAGAGCTAAAAAATTTCTCCATTGTCTTAACTTGCACTGGAACTTGATTGATATTTTAAGTTATTGAATCTGACATTATTTTGTTTTTTTTATAAAGGAATCCTAAGGCTTGGTATGACTTGACAACATTCTCTCCATTGTGTTCGAAGACATCACAATAATTCAAGCCATAAGAGTCAACAAAATTTAATTTGGGATGAAAGTAAGACAAAAGTAACAGAGTTATCCAACCAACAAAATTTACCTTTATTAGAAGCGACAGTATTTTAAGAGTTGAATATGATGATGGTGCTAAAATGTTCTTTTTGCTCACCCAAGTGCTTGCATCTCTAATGTATCCCTAAAATAAATTAGCTCCAATGATTTTGGTAGTACATTTTCTGCTGAGATTTTCTTTGCATTGAATAGTAGATACCATAAAAATTTTATATGATTTAATACTAGGGGAAGGTTATATTTACAAACTTCTTATTTACAAACTTTTACAAACTACAATGTCTGACTGATCATATACTAACCTTTTGTTAATGAACATTGATTGAGTTAGTCTAAGAGTCAGTAAGAATATTAAAATTACAGTATGAGTAATTGAGAAAGAGCATAATTAACTATATTGCACACCTATAGCCATGAGGTTTTAAGCCTAAACAGAAAAAAAAAAATTCGGTGTGCACTTCACTGTTGAAAATACTTTCAGAACTTGCTTTGTTTCTCCTTATAATGGTTGTTTACATGTATTTTTGAAATGATTGAGGCATTTTCTTGTTTTAGCTACTTAGCCAAAAAGTCAACTATTATGATATCCTTTGTTTAGCCCTTTGAGCTAGCCTAAACTTTGTATTTTCTTAATAACTTATTGTTTTAATTAGCCACTCCACATACACATCTACCTTAAATAGGATTGGATTATAGAAATTGCATGATAGAGTGTAAACATGAGTACTATATCATGTAATTCTTAGTGGTGAAAAAGAAGGTTAGGTGAGTTGAGCGAAAGTAAAGGTTGGAAAATGATGAAAATAAAAAATAATTATTTTTGATTCTATGAAAATAAAAGTGTTGAGAAATATAGAAAATGAAAATGAAAAATAAAAGTATTAGGGTTGAAAAAGAAAAATGCAGGAAAAATAAAAGTGCTGAAAAAGAAAAGGGATTGTTTGTTTAAAGTGCTTATTTGGATGTTTGTTCTTAAACTCTGTTATTTTTCATTAAGTCTGGTCATTTATGGAACAATTTACTGTATGAATCTTACATTAAGCATGATTTTTATACTTTTACATATATTCTATGTTCTTAAATTAATTTATAGCTGAAAACAACAATGAGTAAATCTGAGAATGATTTGATGAGTGTCATAGACACTATGTTTTTAATATCAAAATTAGCTTATATAATGATTAATATGATTAAGAATATAGTGTTAATTAATAAATACAAAAGATATTAAGATTTCAACAATTGAATATAATTCTAATCTCTTTCATCTTGTTTCAGGTATAAAATAATAATTACAAATACTAAGAGATAAAGGCAGTTGCAAAGGATAAAGATCAAGAAAAATAAAGAATTAATCAGCATTAATATTTGTTCAGAGAGCACTTCAGCCAGCCTGGTCCAAATTAAAAGCCTTTTTTTTTTCTTTAAAAGGATACTCTATTATTTTCTCATTAAAGGATGCTCTTCCAGCCTATTATGCCGTTTCACAATATTTGTTAACATGGATTGTTTCCAATTAATCTCTATACTAAATTCTTCTAGGGATGTTGATGTGTATTCAAGTGATACATTTTTTGATTCCATTTACGCAATATCTTGGTTCTAGTCTTTTTGAATCCAAAAAATCTTATATTATAAAATAAAATAAAAAAGAATTCAAAAAATTCTCTTTTGAAGAGCTAGCCCCACCAGGCCACCATGATTAAATGTTCCCGACTCAAATAGAATCATCTCCTATGAAGAGTATCTGCGATTTCTCTAAAAAAAAACACATAAAAATAATTGGTTTGATTTAGCTCAGTCTTATAAGTTTTTCGCTAAATCTAAATTAAACCACATCAAACAAAAAACGGGTTGGTTCAATTTGGTTTAGCTGGTGGAAGTCGTATCATTTACGCATTCATTGCATTGTTACTATGACTTCATTTTATAATTCGTCAACTTAAAATATTCTTTTTTCAGTATTCCATTTATTGAAATTATTAAAACGCAGATGAGCTGACATCATATAGTTGACATCATATAGAAACTTGTGAAACATTGCCAGATAATCAAATAATAGGAACCTGTGAAACAGTGTCAGATAATCAAATAACACTGGAAATAAGATTTCGAAGATGTTTGATGTGAGTCTAGCAGATGATCTTTTCTAACTTAAAAGAATTAAGGAATTAATTATAAATGTGTGAAAATAGTCATTAAATGCAAGAAATATTGATTATTCCTTCTCAATCATGCTCTCACTCAAGTTATATGTTAAATAGCACAAAACGCCGCAAAAATGAGCAAAAACGGAGAAACCAAATTTCCATCTGGCGCACGACGCGCGGAGGTTGGCGCACGACGCGCCAAACTGGCGCACGGGGCTCGGCACCTGGCGCACGGGGCGCTTTATCGACGATTTGCTTCTGTTTCGGTCGCGCACGGAGCGCGGTAGTTGGCGCACGGAGCGCGGGACTGGCGCGCGGCACTCCAGAGTTGGCGCCCGGGGCGCCGTTTACAGATTCAGCTTCTGTTTCGCCCAAGTTTGGGGCGCCAGGCTTGGCGCCCCGTGCGCGGGCGATATAATTTTAAGTGCGAATCAGCCAAAATAAGGCCCAATTGGAGTGCAAAGTGAAAGAGGTTTTCCCATAACCTAATAAAAGGGATCAGAAACATAAAAGAGGTGACTTTTGGAGAATCAAGGGAGAAAAACAACAAATAGAGCAGAGATTCCTTGGAGCTTCTCGGAGATTCAAGGGTTCGATCGATCAAGACGGAAGATCTTCATCTTCCCCTTTCTCTTCTAGGTTTTAAATGCTACTTTCTTTTATTGTTATTTTGTCAGACATGAACATGTCTGGCTAGTTTTATCATTGTGGTAAGGGTCACAACCCTTGATGTGAACCCCTTGTACCTTGGTTGAATTTTATGTTTATCTATTTTAATTGCATTTATCTTTTCTTGTTCTTCATTTTATAATTCTATTGGAACTGATCAATCTAGTAGGGTTGCGAGGGTTAAGGTTTACAATAGGGATGTTGGAATTCTAATTCCTGACAAAGAATAAGATAACTGTTCATGTACGCACTAGGGATAGGCTATATGAACCGCGAACGTTAAAGATTCATTGATTTTAAGGGTTAACTCGAAAAGGGATTTCTAAGGGATTAGGATTCTAATAGAGTTGACAAGGTTAAGATCACTAAGGGATTAGGGTTTAACTAATCATATAAAAGATGATGAATTGTTCGATCAATTGAATAGGTAAATGTAAATGTAATCCAAGTTGCAAGGTGGGGATCAGAAAGGTGTTTGTTTCTCTTACCGCAATATTTTCTCAAATATTTTCTCAATCCTTAATCTTTTGTTCTTGCATTCTGAAAACACTTTTGGAATCATTTACATTTTTACTTTAATCATTTTAGTTTGTTTCATGAACTACAATCATTCTCAACCTATTTTGATTAATCCAACAAGAGAGGAATAGGTATAACAACTTAGGTGCCTCAATCCTCGTGGAGACGATACTCTACTCACTCTTTATTACTTGGTACGATCGGTGCACTTGCCGATTTTACGCATCAATGTTGTATAAATATGCTCATCTTCTGTCATTCTTAGGCAAAAATTCCGTACTAGTGTTAATTTGCAAAAGTATCTCCACGCTGAAACACATCTGTAAAGATTGACGAGAGTAGAGCAGTCAAACACGTAGGGTTGACTGACGTGACCAGTCCCGCCACATACATCGACGTGATCAGCAGCCACATAGGATCCAACTCACGTGTCTGCATGAATCCCGCCATTTGGTCTGACTTATTTGAGTCCCGCCATATCAATTGGCGAGACTAATGCATGAGCATCAAGAAGGTGTAGTGGTTGAATGAATGAGCATCCCTAATGCATGTGGCATAGTCTCGCCAATTGATATGGCGAGACTCAAATGAGTCAGACCAAATGGCGGTATTCATGCAGACACGTGGTTGGATCCTATGTGGCTGCTGATCACGTCGATGTATGTGGCGGGACTGGTCACGTCAGTCAACCCTACGTGTTTGACTGCTCTACTCTCGTCAATCTTTACGGATGTGTTTCAGCGTGGAGATACTTTTGCAAATTAACACTAGTACGAAATTTTTGCCGTCATTCTTAGCTCGTAAAATGTGTCCAATTTTTTTTTATTTTTTTATTTTTGAAAAATCTGA